ATAAAATTTATAGGAACAATTCCAAGTTGACTAGTTGTGACAGAGACCACAGAGCCCACAAAACCTAAAATCTGTAATAGCTGGCCCTGGCAAAAAGAGTTTGCCATCCTCTGGCATTGACGATGGACCCCTCCCCACTTGCAACTAGCAGTCTTTCCCACTGGTAATTGGAAGCAGAATCCTGAAAGCAGAGCACTCTTGGGCTAGTCTTCTTGAGGGTTATAGAAGCTACTTTAGGTGGCATGAGGATTTACCAGGGCAGAGACAACCTAGAGAGTGATCTTAGGCCAGAGGGAGGGTCCAGGTAGAGTCTAGCTTAGCCCTGGTGAAGATACAGATGCTCCCGCCTGGCCCCATCTGCCTCATTTGGCAGCCTGACAAGTTGGCACTCTCCTGCCTTCCACTTGGTGCAGCCCCACAGGTTCCCAGAAGAAGCAGGTAGCTTTCCCCTAAGGACCTCCCCTGGCCCCCTAAGCAGAAGCTCTTACCAGCTCCTCCAGCCACACATGGGATTTCCTACAGGACAATTCCATTCCCTGTCCTAGCTTTAATCCTACCTCCACCCTGACTCCACCGACACCTCAAACTCAACATGATGGACATCTAACCCTTCTCTCTCGCTGACCTCTCCAACAACTACTAGAACAACAACAGCAACGTGATTTTCTTCCTTAACTCCTCGGACTGCCCCAGCCCAGAGCTTTCACCTCCTGCTCTTCAGGCTGTCACTAAAGCTGCTGCCCCTGGAACTGCACAGAGCTCAGGAAATTCCCTCCTCCATAGAAAAGCGAAGTGAGCAAGTTAAAAGACGATTCTTACCAGCTTTAAGGTTACTTCTGATATAATTAGAATAGTAGAGAATTATAAAAGGGAGAAGTTCATAAAGAGGGCAGCGATGTGCCATATTAATGTATATAGAAAAGATGCTCCTAAATTAATCAATTTATAAAGACTTAGAGTATATTTCTGCCAAGAATGGGAAAAGTATCCTGTTTCTCAAAGACATAAGCTGGAGGAGGCTGCACCCTTCAGGAACCTTCTTAGCAGTTAATTTTTAAACACATACTCATGCAATTCTAATCCTCTAAACAACCCTGTGAGGTAGAACTTCTATTATCCCCAGTTTCAGGGGGGGAAACTGAGGCCCAGAGAGGCCAATCAACCTGCTGAAGGCCTTATGACCCATTAGTGGTGAGGCGCTATATGATTGCGTTCATATGAAGCTAGGATTGGAGGGCCCAGGTTGCCTGGCTCCAGGATCTGTGCCCTTATCTCCCACTACCCAGCTGCTTGTAGTAAATTAATGCAGAAACAAGGCACAAGAGGTCATGATGGTTGCTCCGAGAGAATTAAACAGAGTCATAGACCAAGAACCACCCAGGACGGTCTGAGAATACTCTGAGAAGGTGACGCTCAGAATAAGACTGCGCTGGCATTCAGAAGAGTGCACCAGATGCAAAAGAAGAGGAGGCAAGGCCAGGCACGGTGACTTCTGCCTGTAATCCCAGCACTTTGGGAGGCTGAGGCAGGCAGATCACCTGAGGTTAGGAGTTCGAGATCAGCCTGGCCAACATGGTGAAACCCCATCTCTACCAAAAATACAAAAATTAGCCTGGTGGTGGCACACGCCTGTGTGCCAATCCCAGCTACTAGGGAGGCTGAAGCAGGAAAAGTGCTTGCACCTGGGAGGCCAAGGTTGCAGTGAGCCAAGATCACACCACTGTACTCCAGCCTGGGCGGCAGAGTGAGACTCTGTTGAAGAAGAAGGGAAGAAGAAGGAGGAGGAGAGGAAGAGGAAGAGGATGAGGAAGAAGAAGAGAAGGAGGAGGAGGAGGAGGAGAAGAAGAAGAAGAAGGAGAGGGGGAGGGGAGGGGGAAGGGGGGGGCCAGGAGGAGGGGGAGGAGGGATGGGAGGAGGAGGAGGGGAAGGGTAGTAATAGGAGAGTGAAATTGGGAGCACCTAGTGATGCAGGAGGAAACCAGGAGAGTCTGGGCTGTAGACTGAATGCTTATGTCCCTCCAGGGTCATAGGCTGAAACCCTAATCCCCAAGGTGGTGATATTTGGAGTTGGGGCCTTTGGGATATGATTAGGCCATGAGGGTGGGGCTTACATGAATAAAATTAGTGCCCTTATAAGAAGAGACACAAGCCAGGTACAGTGGTGCAAGCCTGTAGTCTCAGCTGCTCAGGAGACTGAGCGGGGAGGATCACTAGAGGCCAGGTGTTCAAGGCTGTGGTGTACTATGATAGTACCTGTTAATAATCACCACACTCCAGCCTGGGCAGCATAGTGAAGCCTGTCTCTTAATTTTTTTTTAATTAAAAAAAAATCATAGAATCATAGAAGAGATACAAGAGAGCTTGCTTTCTCTCTCCCTTTCTCTACCATGTGTAGATAGATAAAGAAAGAAGGCAGTCATCTAGAAGCCAGGAAGACAGCCCTTACCAGGAACTGATTGAGCCAGCATCTTGATCTTGAACTTCCAGCCACCAGAACTGGGAGAAATGAATTTATTTTGCATGAGCCACCCAATTTACCGTATCTTTGTTACAGCAGCCTGAGCTGACTGAGGTAATCTGAAAACAAAGAAAGGAGAAAGAAGGGAGGACGAAGTGCTCAGCTGAGTCAAAGGCTGCTGAGGTCAAGTAAGATGCAGAAAGAGAAGATGCATTTGGATTTGACTGACGGTAAGGTTGTTGGTTCCCTTGTCAAGGGCATGTCTGTAGAGTGGTGAGCAGAGAAGACAGGTGGGCGTGACTGCAGAGTATATGACAGATGAAACAGAGTCAGAAAATGCAGACACTGGCTGGGCGCGGTGGCTCATGCCTGGAATCCCAGCACTTTGGGAGGCCAAGACAGATGGATCCTTTGAGGTCAGGAGTTCAAGACCAGCCTGGCCAACATGGTGAAACCCCGTCTCTACTAAAAATACAAAAATTGCCCAGGTGGTAGTGGTGCACGCCTGTAATCTCAACTACTCAGGAGACTGAGGAGGAGAATCACTCGAGCCTGGGAGGTGGAGGTTGCAGTGAGCCAAGATCACACCACTTTACTCCAGTCTGGGTGAGAGAGTGAAACCCTACATTAAAAAAGAAAGAAGAAAGAAGAAAGGAAGGAAGGAAGGAAGGAAGGAAGGAAGGAAGGAAGGAAGGAAGGAAGGAAGGAAGGGAAAGAGAGAAAGAAAGAAAGGAAGGAAGGAAGGGAAAGGAAGGAAGGAAAGGAAGGAAGGAAGGAAGGAAAGAAAGAAGGAAAGAAAGAAAGAGAAAGAAAGAAAGAAAGAAAGAAAGAAAGAAAGAAAGAAAGAAAGAAAGGAAGGAAGGAAGGAAGGAAGGAAGGAAGGAAGGAAGGAAAGAAAGAAAGAGAAAGTACAGATATTTCTTTACAAGAAGCTCTGAGAAGGAAAATGGAGAGAAAGGAAACAACAGCTGGAGAGGGCTGGAGAAAAAGGGGAGTGTTTTTTAATCAAAATCCTCCAGTATGCTGAGAAGTGAGTGGGCAGATCTTCTGGAAAACCTGTCCTGGTTGACGGGCGGATGTCACCGGGACATCATTGTGGTGCTCACAGAACTTGAAATCCAAGCACAAAGATGGAGTTAATTACAACAAACTAAAATTATTCGGGTGTAAAAAAAAAAGACAACAAAACTGAAAAAACTGAAACAAAATTATCAAAAACATCAAGAGCTTATACAGATCAAAATGAAAAATACTCAAACTAAGAGAAAAATTGGCAAACACCATCAACCCATAATTCTCAACAGAAGAAATACTGATGACTGACATTCAGAAGAAAAGGCACTTAATCTCACTGAAAATCAAGCACATGGATATACTAAAACAATAAAATTATAAATTTTCCCAGATTAGCCAAGAGGTTTTCTAAGGTAATGCTCAGCAAAGGCAGGCAACAGCCTGGTGGAATCCGTATGCTGTCTGTAGGTGACGTAGTGCTCTAATTCTGCAAAGCAACTTAGCAGCAAGTTAGAAGAACTCTAAAAATGGCCTTTCTCTTCGCCCAGTAATTCCACTTTTCATATTCTATTCTAAGAAAAAAAAAATGAAAATGTGAACATATAGTAGTGAAAAATGTAAAAGACCCTAATTATCCAACAAAAAGAAACTATGTAACTATTGGGCTAGGTGCAGTGGCTCACACCTATAATCCCTCCACTTTGGGAGGCCAAAGTGGGCGGGTCGCTTGGGACCAGGAGTTCGAGACCAGCCTGATCAACACGGCAAAACCCCATCTCTACTAAAAATACAAAAATCAGCCTGGCATGGTGGCAGGCACCTGCCATCCCAGCTACTTGGGAGGCTGAGGCAGGAGGATCGCTGGAATCCAGGAAATGGAGGTTTCAGTGAGCTGAGATCGTGCCACTGCACTCCAGCCTGGAAGACACAGTGAGACTCTACCAAAAGAAAAGGAAAAAACAAAAAACAAACAAACAAAAAAACCCTCTTGAGAAACAATCAAAAATGAGAGAAATACGTGGGATTTGACTAAAACATTAGAGATGAAGAATAACGTGAGTGAAATCTTTGAGAACGTGATGACTAAGGAGAGAATTTTCCCAAGTCCAGGGTAGCTCTTGAAAAAACACAAGCAAGCTTTAAGAAGCAACTGCCAGAGAAACAGAAACTAAGAGAGATGATGCCCTCAGCCATGTCTGAAATCCAGGCACTCGTGTGGGGAGATTGCAGAAGTCGGTGGTACGGCTGAAAGAAAATGAGGAAGCTTTGAAACATGATTCAGTGGCTTCCTGCTATAAAATCTTCACTATCTCCTCTTAGCTGTGATCAAGTCCAGACTCCAGCATGATTCACACAGCCCTGCAGGACCCAGTCTCCTCCATCCTTCCGGCTCACACTTTTGCTCTAGCCATTCCAAAGCACAGTATTTCTGATTTCCCAAATAGCAGCTGCTCCCTCGAGCCACCACGCCTGCATATATGATGTTTGGTCAAAGCCCTTCCAGCCTCCCACCCACCTTCCTTGGTACCTGAAGCCTCTACATATCCTTCAAGATGCTGGTAAAGCTTCCCCGCGAAGCCGGCTCTGGCAGAGTCGATGCGCTGCCTCTGTGCGGCACAGTACCTGGGTTGCATCATTCTGTCTTAAGCCCGCCCCAACATTCTTTTCCGGGTGAATCTGCCTCCACTGTTGCTTTGTGTAGGGCACCACAGGTTGAGTTAATGAGTCCAAGCAAAGTCCTGTCCCATATCATTTCTCTATTTAGACCTTTCTATCTCATTTCTCATTTCCACTCCCCTACCCCAAAGGCAACCATTCTAATGCTTATAAGTGCACATCCGTACGCTTGTGTGATTGTCAGGTGTACATGCTGGCTTTGTAGGAGTGTGTGTAAGTTTACATAACTGACTGGGCACAGTGGCTCACAGAGGCTGAGGTGGGAGGATCCCTTGATGCCGGGAGTTCAAGACCAGCCTGGGCAGCATAGTGAGACCCGATCTCTACAAAAAAATTTAAAACTTAGTCAGGCATGGTGGCACACGCCCATGGTCCCAGCTACTCAGGAGGCTGAGGCAGGAGGATTGCCTAGACCCAGGAGATTGAGGATGCAGTGTGCTATGATTACACCGCTGCGTTTCAGCCTGGGCAAAAAGAATTTACATAACTGGCTTTATGCCGTCGATCTCATTCTGGCTTTAGTTTTTTCACTCAGTACTGGATTATTTTTATTTTTTTAATTAATTTTTTTTTTTTTTTTTTGAGACAGAATCTCACCCTGTCACCCAGGCTGGAGTGCAATGGCGTGATCTCAGTTCACTGCAGCCTCCGCCTCCCAGATTCAAGCAATTCTCCTGTCTTAGCCCCCTGAGTAGCCGGGACTACAAGTGCACACCACTATGCCCAGTCAATTTTTGTATTTTAGTAGAGATGAGGTTTCACCATATTAGTCAGTCTGGTCTCGAACTTCTGACCTCAGGTGTTCAATCTGCCTCGGCCTCCCAAAGTGCTGGGATAACAGGTGTGAGCCACTGTGCCAGGCCTCAGCACTGGGTTTTTAAGCCCCCTCCATGTTGCCATGGGGCCACAGAGTTTGTTGACTAGAACTGGAGCTTGTACACTACAGGAGGTGCCAGGTTTACTTGTCAGCTCCTCCCCCATGTTGCACACCTGGGCTGCCCCCAGCTCCCTGCTTCCCAAACAGCACAGCACTGAGCATGCTCTAGCCCGGCCTCTGTGAGCCTGCATGAGAGTTTTCCTGGGCTCTGCCTGCCTGAGCAGGATTGCTGGGTCCCAAAGTAAACACACACTTAGCCTGACAGATTTCTCTCCAAACAGGCCACACTTGGCTTGTGAGCGTTCTTTCCTGACCAGGGCCTACAAACAGAACCTGTTTCATAAAATAGAGCAGACTTTTCGCAGACTGCTCCCAAAGTGCAATCTCCCTTTGATCCTGGCATGAGTTTGTTCGGTCAGGTGAAAATGCATTAAGTCCTCGGGTCTTCCTGAGAGCCCCCGGTCTAGATCCTCGAGTCCAGCTTAAGGCCAAGCCAGGATCCTCTGTTTGACCCTACAGCAAGAGCTGGAGCCATCTTCCCCACATTCCACTGCATGGCCAGCAATGACTTCTTGCTGCAAACACAACACCGACGGTTGTGGAGGGGAATGGGCCCTGAGGACTCCCAGCCACCCCCAATTCAGACCCCAGGCTTCTTCCTACAATAGCTCCTTTGAAGGACCAGCTGTGCTCTTCACTTAAAGTGTTTTGTGGCTGGGCGCGATGGTTCATGCCTGTAATCCCAGCACTTTGGGAGGCCGAGGAGGGTGGATCTCCTGAGGTCAGGAGTTCGAGATCACCCTGGCCAGCATGATGAAACCCCATCTCTACTAAAAATACAAAAATTAGCCGGGTGTGGTGGTGCACCTGTAGTCCTGGCTACTCAGGAGGCTGAGGTGTGAGAATCGCTTGAACTCAAGAGGTGGAGGTTGCAGTGAGTCAAGATCGTGCCACTGCACTCCAGCCTGGGCCCAGAGTGAGACTCTGTCTCAAAAAAAAAAAAGAAAAGAAAAGAAGAGATCTTAAATGATCTAGGGTCTGGATAGATAGTACTGTGACAAGCAACCCTAACATCTCAGTGGCTTAACATGATAAAGGTGTATTTCTCAGTCAGATCAGAGACAGAGGAAAGTCAGGCAGATCTCTAGGTGGCAACTGGAGGACCTGGACTCTTCCATCAGCATCATCACCTTCATGCTGGTTTCTATGGTCACCATGGAGCATGTAAGAAATTGCACAGGTGTCTAAGGCCAGGCCCAGAGTGGGGTACCAGACTTCCACTACATCCAGGAGAACCAGGACGCTGAGGCTCTCTGGTGGGATGTCACAGAAACAATGTGAGCTGCTTGTATGCCTGGCCCTTAAAACCATCCCATACACTTAACATTTCCAGGAAGGTGAAGTAGCCAGACTTTTCCCTATCCTTCCCACCAAGTAGAACTAAGCCCTGATCTTGGGTATAAGACAAGCATGAGGGCCAGGCATGGTGACTCACACCTGTAATCCCAGCACTTTGGGAGGCTGAGGTGGGCAATAATTTGAGGGCAAGAATTCAAGACCAGCCTGGCCAACATGGTGAAACCCCATCTCTACCAAAAATACAATAATTAGCCAGGCGCGGTGGTGCACACCTGTAATCCCAGCTACTCAGGAGGCTGAGGCAGGAGAATCGCTTGAACTTGGGAGGCAGAGGTTGCAGTGAGCCGAGTTCACACCACTGGACTCCAGCCTGGGTGACAGAGCAAGACTCTGTCTCAAAAAAACAAAACAAAACAAAACAGAACAAAAACCCTGCTTGTAACAAAGGCCAAGCAGACCGCTCCCAAAGGCAACCTGGAAGTGTGTTTCCGACAGCTGTTCTCACTTCAATTCAAGTTAACTCTTTAAAATTGTATTTTGTGCCTCAGTTTCTTCCTGTAGGTCTTTTGCCTTCTCCTGGCCAGGGGCACATCAGTGGAGGCACAGTAGAAGCTGGAATTCACATCTTCACCCACTGGGGTCCACGAAGTCTCGCTTGCAAGCCCATCTCAATGCTGGGCTACGCCACCCTTCTATGCATTCCCATGGTCCCCTGTACATTTCCACCAGGAGACCGGGTTATTGTAATCACCAACATCCTTGTCTGCGACCCACACTGCACCCAGCAGAACTGTGCCTTATTCACTCTGCTGTCTCCAGTACCCACTGCTCAGGGGGGCTTTTTGAGCATGTTCTGAAAGGGTAGGGGGAGAACAGCCTGGAAATGGTAAAAAGATCAGGCCGGGCGCAGTGGCTCACACCTGTAATCCCAGCACTTTGGGAGGCCAAGGCAGGTGGATCACTTGAGGTCAGGAGTTTGAGACCAGCCTGGCCAACATGGCAAAACCCCGTCTCTACTTAAAAAAAAAAAAAAAAAAAAAAAATGAGCCAGGTGTGGTCCCAGCTACTCAAGAGGTTGAGGCAGGAAAATCGCTTGAACCTGGGAGGCAGAGGTTACAGTGAGGTGAGATCGCGCCACTACACTCCAACCTGGGCAACAGAGTGAGACTTCGTCTCAAAAATAAAAAAAATAAAATAAAATAAAATAAAATAAAATAAAATAAAATAAAATAAAATAAAATAATAAAATCTATGTATACATGGCTGCGCTTCTTACACAACACCTCACATTTATTCAAAGAAATCTGAGACCCACCCCCCACCCCCATTGCCTTGCTCTCAGGAAACAAGAACAGGAAAACTAAATCGCTGCATGCCATCAACGGGGGAGTGGGCGAGTGACAGCAGATGTGGTGCTTCCAATGAGGCCAAGGGATAGGGACACTTGGAAAATCCCAAGCCGGGACTGACCTGCCAACTACAGCCAAATGGAGTAGTGCCTCCTCCAAACACAGACGGGACTTAGATGGCAGCCACTGGTCTTTCGTTTTGTTTTGTTTTTTGGGGATTTTTTTAAATGGAGTCTCGCTCTGTCACCCAGGCTGAAGTACAGTGGTGCAATCTCTGCCTCTGCTTACCGCAACCTCAGACTCCCAGGTTCAAGCAATTCTCCTGCCTCAGCCTCCCGAGTAACTGGGATTACAGGCGCCCACCACCAGCTAAAAACTTGACCCAGCTAATTTATTTCGTATTTTTAGTAGAGACAGGGTTTTACCATGTTGGCCAGGCTGGTCTTGAACTCCTGACTTCAGGTGATCCACCCGCCTCGGCCTCCCAAAGTGCTGAGATTATAGGCCTGAGCCACCACACCCAAACTGGCAGCCACTGGTCTTAAGCAGGGAAGACCTAGGTCACCTCAAGTGTCCTGTGAGACACCACAGTCTATGCTGACAGAGAGGAAGTACCCGTGCAGGCCCCAGCGTAAAGTCCCTGAATTAGGAATTCCTGCCGACTTGCTTTTGTTGGACAGCCCTTCCTCCACAATTAGATGAGAGAAACTTGCCTCCTTGTGAGATGAGACCAAGTTATCATTAGACCTCCCCATGGGTCGACATTGCGGTCGAGTCAAATGATTCCCTGCACAAAAAAAAAAAAAAAAAAAAAGATTAATGTAAAAAAAGGAGAAAGGTCAGAATGCTCCTTTCCCCTGCTGGATCAAGGCTCTGAGACAGGCTGAAGGCAGAAATCCTCTGTCATTCCTGTCCCCCTCTCAGCCGCCAGGGGAGCGTGACCCGTTCTGGAGCTCCAGACACTGTTATCACAGAAGATTTGCTCTTTCTGGCAGGCAGCAAAAATGATGAGACCAGTGTTGTCCAAACTGAGGGTTGCAACCTGGTTGTGGGTCTTAAGCAGATTTTTTCCTTGCAAATAGTGTGAGAGACCAATGGAATCTCAGATTCCCAAATTCACTATGCCAAAGGGAAAGGGAAGCTTGGGAACCGGGTCACCAATGCTGTTTTCCTTTTGTTCCCAAACAGATGGCTACAAGGGCACAACCCTGGGCCATGGCCTCTTTTTCTGCTCTTCACATGTTTACTTTATCTTAAGTCAGATGCAGATTTACTGAGCTGTGCACAAGATATCATTGACTTTTCCCTCCACTTCCTCTTTCCAGGTGTAAAATGTAGTTTTACCAAAGCTAATCAGAGCCTCACAAGAATGTAAAAATTTGCTTCCCTGCCTCCCCTCCCTCCCTTTTTTCCCCTCCTGCTTTCTTTTCCCTTCAAAGACCGAAGTTCCTAGTCAGTCAGGCACTGGCTCACACTTGTAATCCCAGCACCTTGGGAGGCTGAGGCGGGCAGATCACCTGAGGTCAGGAGTTCGAGACCAGCCTGGCCAAAATGGTGAAACCCCGCCTCTACTAAAAATACAAAAACATTAGCCGGACATGGTGGTATGTGCCTTAATCCCAGCTACCCCCAAGCTGAGGCAAGAGAATGGCTTGAACCCGGGAGGTGGAGGTTGCAGTGAACCAAGATCACACCATTGCACCCCAGCCTGGGTGACAGAGCAGGACTCCATCTCAAAACAAAGTTCCTAAAACCTCCTTTGGAAAAAGCATCTGTGATCACAAGAGCATGTGTGATCTGTGTTTTTTCCTGGACAGCCTTGGCTAAACAAACCTCTAATGCATTGAGACCTGCCTCAGTCATGTTTTGGTCTATAACAGGGTGTGTCAGGACCAATCAGAGCACATCTCAGGTCACAATGATAAACACTGAGCCTTTTATTTTTTTTCTGCATGTGCATACAAGTATTGCAATGTAACTAAATTTCTTACTGTGAGTCATGGTCAAAAAATCCTAAAAGTATTAGTATTTTTGACCATGGGCTAAGTGAGGTGGCTCACGCCTGTAATCCCAGCACTTTGGGAGGCCAAGGGGTTGGATCACCTGAAGTCAGGAGTTCGAGACCAGCCTGGCTAACATGGTGAAACCCCATCTCTACTAAAAATACAAAATTAGCAGGGCATGGTTGCAGGTGCCTGTAATCCCAGCTACTCGGGAGGCTGAGGCACAAGAGTCACTAGAACCTGGGAGGTGGAGGTTGCGGTGAGCCGAGAACACGCTACCATACTCCAGCCTGGGTGACAGAGTGAGACACTGACTTTAAAAAAAAAAAAATTCATGACATCAGTTACGTGTGAGCATTTTACTTCAATCGGGAATAAAGAACAAGGAAACTCTCCCACCACCCTCCGTCTCTTGGTGCCCAGAATCTCCATCAAGCACGTTCTGGTCCAGAAAAAAGAGGGGGCCCTGCAGTAGCCCACCCTATGTCTTGGTCCATTCAGCCTGCTGTAACTAAAATACCACAAACTGGGCAGCTTAAGCAGTCATTTATTTCTCACAGTTATAGACGCTGGACATCGAAGATCAGGGTGTCAGCCTGGTCAGGCTCTGGCGAAGTCCTCTTCTGGGATGCAGACGACTGCCTTCTCTTTCCATCTTCACATGGCAGAGAGAGAGGTCTACAAAGCTCTCTGGGGTCTCTTTTATAAGGGCACTCATCCCATTTATGAGGGGTCCAGTTTCAAGACCTAATCACTTCCCAAACCCCCAATACCATCAGCTTCATGGTCAGGATTTCAACAGATGAATCTTTGGTGGGGGAAGAAGGGGGACACAAACTTTCAGTCCATCACCCCTGGAACAGG